CAGACAGAAATCAACAAACAACAGATGCTGGCGAGCATGTGGGGGAAAGGTGTTCTAATCCACTGTGGGTGGGAATGCAAACTGGTGCAGCCACCGAGGAAGAGAGTACGGAGATAACACAGAAATCTGAACACAGACCTGCCAAATGAGCCGCCATCCCACTCCTGGGAATTTACCCAAAGGGAATGAAGTCAGCATCTGAAAGAGTGGTCTGCACCCCATGTTCACTGCAGCTCAATTTACAAGAGCTAAGATAGGGAATCCACCCAGATGTCCACCAACTGAAGGCTGGATAAATAAAATATGGCATATATACACTATGTAATACTACACGGCAGTTAAAAAATGAAAGAACTCCCGTCATTTGCAACAATATGGATGCAACTGCAAACCATCATACTTAGTGAAATAAGTCAGTCCCAAAAAGACAAATCCCATACATTCTCTCTGATCTATGGTAAGTGAGAGAGTCCCTAAAAGCTAATGTATAGGCGTGACATTGGCACTTCATGATGTGATGATTTTGAACAGCCCTTGTGTTGACTGTTGAGGGATAATTTTTTTACATTTATGTTCTACTATTTGTTTATCCTTCTACTTAGTGTAGGCTGCTGAGTATAAAGTTAACTGAAAATAGCTCTTTGTAAAAAATAGGAATGGGAATGGGAAAGGGATGAGGAAGAAGGGTGGGAGTATGAGTGGGAGGGAAGCAGGGTGGAAAGAATCACTATGTTCCTAAATTTGTATATATGAAATGCTTGAGGTTTGTATTGCTTAAAAAAAAAGTAAAAAAAAAAAAGTAAAAACAAAGCAAAACAATTGGCCACAATGGCCAAAGCTGGGCCAATCTGAAGCTAGGAGCCACTTCTACATCTCCCATGCAGGTGCTACAGTCCAAGCACTTGGGCCATCTTCCACTGTTTTCTCAGACCATATCAGAGAATTGGATTGGAAGTGGAGCAGCTGGGATCTGAACTGGTGCCCACATGGGATGCCAGAACTGCAGGTGACAGCTATACCTGCTATGCCACAGGACCGGCCCCTAAAATACTCTTTTATCACTGTTAATATTACACATGTTTTAAAGCCCATCTTTGCAATGAGGGTGGTCTGAGGTGTGTACCTGGGAGTCAGACTTCTCACCAAAGGAAAGCTCCAGTGAACCCCAAGGTGTTAGACTGCAAAGGAGCTAAGGACAAGAACTCCTGGTTTCAGTGGATGCTGTCAGGGCCACCTTTATGTTTTTTTTTTGTTTTTTTTTTTAAAGATTTTATTTATTTTATTTGAGAGGTAGAGTTACACACAGTGAGCAGGAGAGATAGAGAGAAAGGTCTTCCTTCCATTGGTTCACTCCCCAAATGGCTGCAACAGCTGGAGCTGTGCCGATCTGAAGCCAGGAGTCAGGATCTTCTTCCAGGTCTCCCATGTTGGTGCAGGGGCTCAAGGATCTGGGCCATCCTCCTGTGGGGAGCAACTGGGAGCAACTCGGACTAGACTAAGTTACTGGAATTAAGACTTATTCTATGCATCTGCTCTCCCACAATATGGCGCTGGGAGAGAAGAAAACAGCTTCTACACAGCTGCCTACAGTTCAGCCAATAAACTGTAGGACTTGCTCCTGATTGGAGGAGAGCAGCGTACTCGGCGTGTGGGCAGCCGAGTTAGGATTGGCAGAGGAGGACTATAAAGGAGGAGAGAGACGGCATGCACCAGGAACATCTAAGAGGAACATCTAAGGGGAACACCTGTGCAGCCCCCAGAGAGCCGGCCGGTGGTGTGCCACTCCCCTGCGGAAGTTTGGAAAGTGGCCAGGGGGAACCGCCCTTCCATGGAGGTGGAAGGGACAGTAGCCAACCCGGGAAGAACCAGCAGCAAACCCGGGGAGGGCCGAGCAGACGAAAGAACAGCGCAGGGTCCTGTGTCGTTCCTCCACGAAGAGGGGGAGCGACACCTCCACTGTTTTCCCAGGCCATAGCAGAGAGCTGGACTGGAAGTGGAACAGCCAGGACTAGAACCATATGGAATGCTGGCACTGCAGATGGAAGATTAACCTACTGCACCATGGTGCTGGCCCCAACTTTATGTTTTTTAAAGAAAGATTTCTTTCTTTGAAAGGCAGAGTAGGGGCCAGCTCTGTGGCACAGTGGGTTAATGTCCTGGCCTGAAGCGCCGGAATCTCATATGGGCGCCGGTTCAAGACCCGGCTGCTCCTCTTCCAATCCAGCTCTCTGCTAAGGCCTGGGAAAGCAGTAGAAGATGGCCCAAGTCCTTGGGTCCCTGCACGCACGTGGGAGACCTGGAAGAAGCTCCTGGCTCCTGGCTTTGGATCGGCACAGCTCTAGCCGTTGCAGCCATTTGGGGAGTGAACCATTGGATGGAAGACTTCTCTCTGCTTCTCCTCTCTCTGTGTAACTGACTTTCAAATAAATAAAAAATATTTAAAAAGAAAAGAAAAGAAAAGAAAGGCAGAGCTAGAGAGACAGAGACAGAGTGAGATTTCCCATCTGCTGCTTCATTCTCAAATAGCCACAATCATCAGGGCTGGGCCAGGCTGAAGCCAGGAGCCAGGAGCTTCTTCCAGGTCTCTCACGTGGATTCAAGGGCCCAAGCACTTGTGCCATCTTCTGCTGCCTTCCCAGGTGCATTAGTAGGGAGCTGGATCAGAAGTGGATCAGCTGGGACTCGAACAAGCATTCCAATGTGGGGTGCTGGTATCACAGGCTTAACCAGCTGTGCCACAACACTGGCCCTTTGATAATGGTTTTGATTAAAAAAAAAAAAAAAAAAAGCTGTGAGAAAGGCACAGAGATCAACAATGGTGCTGGAGCACCATTGCGTCTGTCTTTGCGGGGGGCTGGGAGCAGTGACAACCAAGGGCCTTGTTTCCAGACACTGCTCTCCCCTAAAAATGCCGGGGCCCTGCAAAAGCAGCACACGGCACAAAGTGAGCCTTGGACATCAGGTGGTGCAGGGACATAAACATGGGACACTCAGGAAACAGGATGCTCAGGACACAGGGACATTCAGTATACACAGGGGACGTTCCGTATACACGGGGGACACTCAGGACACAGGGGATGCTCAGTATACACGGGGAAAGCTCAGCACATGGGGGACACTCAGTATACACGGGAGACGTTCAGTATACACTGGGGACACTCAGTATACACGGGGGATGTTCAGTATACACTGGGGACACTCAGTATACACGGGGGATGTTCAGTATACACGGAGGACACTCAGGACACAGGGGATGCTCAGTATACACGGGGAAAGCTCAGCACATGGGGGACACTCAGTATACACGGGAGACGTTCAGTATACACTGGGGACACTCAGTATACATGGGGGATGTTCAGTATACACGGGGGACACTCAGGACACAGGGGATGCTCAGTATACACGGGGAAAGCTCAGCACATGGGGGACACTCAGTATACACGGGAGACGTTCAGTATACACTGGGGACACTCAGTATACACGGGGGATGTTCAGTATACACTGGGGACACTCAGGACACAGGGGGACGCTCAGCATACATGGAGGACACTCAGGACACAGGGGGACGCTCAGCATACATGGAGGACACTCAGGACACAGGGGGACGCTCAGCATACATGGAGGACACTCAGGACACAGGGGGACGCTCAGTATACACAGGGGACATTCAGTATACACTTGGGGATGCTCAGGGCACAGGGGATGCTTAGGACGCAGGGGACGTTCCGTATACACTGGGGACACTCAGGACACAGGGGATGTTCAGTATACACGGGGAAAGCTCAGCACATGGGGGACACTCAGTATACACGGGAGACATTCAGTATACACTGGGGACACTCAGGACACAGGGGGACGCTCAGCATACATGGAGGACACTCAGGACACAGGGGGACACTCAGTATACACGGGAGACGTTCAGTATACACTTGGGGATGCTCAGGGCACAGGGGATGCTTAGGACACAGGGGGGTGCGTAGGACACAGGGGGACGCTCAGTATACACGGAGGACACTCAGTATACACTAGAGACACTCAGGACATCATGCAGAAAGCTGGATTATAAGAGAGACAGGACTTGAATTCAGGTACTTTGATATGGGTGTCCCAACCAAAGTGGTTTTTTCACCATCAGGCCAAATGCCCAGCCCACACTTCTAATCTATTCTACAAACTCCATGGTGACGGCTGCAGTGCAACACAGTTCACACCCACAATGTGGAGGATGCTCCCCGGAGAGGCCAGAGTCATAGCTGCAGACTGTAAGGGGTACCATCACTCAGTGAGCGGTGAGTAGGTGCTCGTGGCATTGGCTGGCAGCCCTGGGGGTCAGTGGGCAGCCCTGGGGGAGCAGTGGTCAGTGCTGGGGTCGGTGGGCAGCCCTGGGGCAGCAGTGGTCAGTGCTGGGGTTGGCGGGCAGCCCTGGGGCAGCAGTGGTCAGTGCTGGGGTTGGCGGGCAGCCCTGGGGCAGCAGTGGTCAGTGCTGGGGTTGGCGGGCAGCCCTGGGGCAGCAGTGGTCAGTGCTGGGGTTGGCGGGCAGCCCTGGGGCAGCAGTAGTCAGTGCTGGGGTCGGTGGGCAGCCCTGGGGCAGCAGTGGTCAGTGCTGGGGTCGGCGGGCAGCCCTGGGGCAGCAGTGGTCAATGCTGGGGTTGGCGGGCAGCCCTGGGGCAGCAGTGGTCAGTGCTGGGGTCGGCGGGCAGTCCTGGGGGAGCAGTGGTCAGCGCTGGGGTCGGTGGGCAGCCCTGGGGCAGCAGTGGTCAGTGCTGGGGTTGGTGGGCAGCCCTGGGATGAGCAGACAGTCCTGGGGTCATTGGGCAGTGCTGGGGTTGGCGGGCAGCCCTGCAGGGGCAGCTGGCTCCCAGGCAGTAAGGATAATACTGCTGATGGACAACAGCATGCATCAGACCTGCTAAACTCACCTTCCAAACCAACTCTGCAGTCATCAGAAAGAAAACTGAGCAACACAGATAAAAACATCTCCGGCCATCGCCCCAGCCTACCTGGAACACGAGGATGCCCATGTGGGAGACAGCCAGGTTAATCTTGGTCCCCTCCTTGTCGGAGGCCCTGTGAAATCTGATGCCGTACAGCTCCAGCTTTCGGGCGATCTCCAGCACCTGGAAGTCCGACTCTGCAGGCGTCTGGCCCCTGCGAGGAGGCAGTTTTGAGAGTGTCACTAAGAACTTCAGGTTTCTGAATAAACACATTAGAGATGTGATCAGGGAACCTAAACAAAACAGAACCAACCAACAGCCCACCTGGGGGGCCTTGTGCTCGGGGGGATCACAGATGAGCACACAGGCCAGGGTCTCCATGCCTCCCAGCACTGCTCCCCACCGTGACAAGGTTACACGCAAGGTGCAGTAGAGCTGAATGTCAGATCAGAGGGAAGGCCAGGACGGCACTAGCATCTCACTAGGCTCATCTTCACAGCACCCTTCCTACCACTAGGATGCAGTTCTATAAGAGTGGAATCGTGATGTCCAATAAAAATACCACTGCCAAACACCTGATCTCATCCACATAAAGGTGTCTCATGGTCGACTGGCGGGAAATGCCAAGTAGCTGTGATCCTGCCACCACACAGCCAGGCCGGTGAGGCCACATGCAGCTGCTGCGGGTGCCATCTGGGGCTGTGCTGTCAGGGCACCGTGCCCAGCACAGGAGCCCACACTGGAACCTTCCACTGAGGAAGCTGTGCCTTCGTCTCATTATAATTCCTGAGCTGAAGAGCCGCAGGACCAATCCAACTGTCTGGGTTATGCTGTACCATTCTCTCACTAAAATTTACACTTTATGAACATGATACAGACACCATTAACTTGTGCTTTAATAAATCATCGCCACCACGGGCAATGGGGAATGATCAGGACATAGGAGAGCGCTCAGGTGGGGTAAAACCACTTTCCAAGAAGCCTTAATTTGAACTTTGCCTATTTTGGTATTATTATTATTTCAAGATTTATTTACTTACATGTAAGTAATATTTATAAGTGTATTTACATATATTTAGTTATAAATATGTATTGTTTATTTACTTATTTGAAAGACAGAGAGACAGAGTCTTCTATCTGCTGGTTCACTCCCTAAATGTCCACAACAGCCAGAGCCAGGCCATACTAAAACCAGGAGCCAGGAACTTCTGAGTCTCCCATGTGGGTGCAGGGCCAAGCACTTGGGCCATCCTCTGTTGCTTTCCAAGGCCATAGCAGGGAGCTGGATGGGAAGTGGAGCAGCTGGGACTTGAATTGGCGTCCATATTGAATGCCAGTGTGTGTGTTGCAGTTGGTGGCTTTTCCTGCTATGCCTCAATGCTGGCCTCTTTGCCTATTTTTAAAGCTACCAGTGAACATGTTTTATCTGAGAGAGAGACAGACAGACGTACAGAGGGAGGGAGGGGAAAAGTAAGCACTCACTGCTTGCCACCCACTGGTTCACTCTCCAAATGCCTACAACAGCCTGGGCTGGGCCAGGAGCCAGGAGCCCCATCCAGGTCTCCCATGTGGGTGCCAGCACCCGCTGTCTCCCAGGGTCCACACTGGCGGGAAGCAGGAATCAGGAGTGGAACTGGGAACCGAAAGCAGCACTCCAGTGTGGAATGTGGACATGTCATCCACTAGTCAAATGCTCACTCCTGAATGCTGTTTTTTTTTTTTTTTTAAGATTTATTTTTTGATTTGAAAGAGTTACAGAGAGAGGAAGAGTCAGAGTCAGAGAGAAAGAGAGAAAGAGAGAGAGAGGGGGGTGGGGGGGGATCTTCCATCTCCTGGCTCATTTCCCAGATGGCCGCAGCAGTCAGCGCTGGGCCAGGCCAAAGTCAGCAGCCAGGACCTTTATTTGGGTCTCCCACGTGAGTGCAGGGGCCCCAACACTTGGGTCCTCCTTTGCTGCTTGTCCTAGACCATCAGCAGGGAGCTGGATCAGAAGTGGAGCAGTCGCGGCCGGCGCCGCGGCTCACTAGGCTAATCCTCCGCCTAGCGGCGCCGGCACACCGGGTTCTAGTCCCGGTCGGGGCGCCGGATTCTGTCCCGGTTGCCCCTCTTCCAGGCCAGCCCTCTGCTGTGGCCCGGGAGTGCAGTGGAGGATGGCCCAGGTGCTTGGGCCCTGCACCCCATGGGAGACCAGGAGAAGCACCTGGCTCCTGGCTCCTGCCATCGGATCAGCGCGGTGCGCCGGCCGCATCGCGCTGGCCGCGGCGGCCATTGGAGGGTGAACCAACGGCAAAGGAAGACCTTTCTCTCTGTCTCTCTCTCTCTCACTGTCCACTCTGCCTGTCAAAATAAATAAATAAATAAATAAAAAAAAAAAAAAAAAAAAAAGAAGTGGAGCAGTCGGGACTCTGGTGTCTCAGGTGGTGGCTTAGCTCAGTATGCCACAATGCTGACCCCACATTTTTAGATTTTTGTTTTCTATCTTACCTGAAAGACAGTGTGACAGAAACACAGAGAAAGAGATCATCCACCTGCTTGTTCATTTGCCAAGTGTTTGCAAGGGTTGGGCCAGACAAAAGCCAGGAGCTCAGAACTCCATGCAGGTCTCCCACGTGGGTAGCAGGGACCTGAGCACTCGCCATCACTGCCGCCTCCCAGGGTGTGCACTGCTGGGAAGCTGGATCAGAAGTGGAGTGCCAGGACTTGTAGCAGGCACTCCCCTGTGGGATGTGGGTGTCATCTGAGCTCAGTACCAAACGTGCCCCTGAGCATTCTAGAGACAAAGTCCGATCCCTGCAGAGCCAGCAAACGCTCAGAGGAGCCACAAAACTGGTGCTAAAGGACCAGAAACTGTATTCCTCAGGAAACCCAGGACACACTTCAGAGAAAAAACAAAGCTGTTTGTGAGAAGAGCAAGGCAATGCGTATTTGTACGGCAGCTCTGTAAGCCCACTTACGCCAGTAAACGCCAGGCACCTCCAGTTTTGGACAGCCAACTTTCAAATTCTTTTCTGCAATGTCAAAGGAGTAGTAGATTCCAGGGAACACAGTGTACGATCCTGCTCAGTCAGGACAATGTTTCCATCTTGCTGGAAATTTGCACTTGGGGCTGGTGCTGTGATATAGCAGGTAAAGTCGCCCACCTGTGGCAATGGCTTCCCATTTGGGTGCCAGTTTGAGACTTGTCTGCTCCACTTCCGATCCAGCTCTCTGCTATGGCCTGGAAAGCAGTGAAAGATGGGGCAAGTGCTTGGGCCCCTCCCCACATGGGAGACCCAGAGGAAGCTCCTGGCTTCTGATCAGCTCAGCTCTGGCTGTTGTAGCCACTTGGGGAGTGAACCAGCAGATGAAGATTCATTCTCTCTCTCTCTCTCTCTCTTTCTCTCTCTAACTCTGCCTTTCAAACAAATAAATACATCTGTGAAAAAAGAAAGAAGAATTTACACTGGGGCCAGTGTTGTGGCTCAGGGAGAGAAGGCACCACCTGTGACACTGGCACCCCGTATCAGAGTGTCAGTCTGAGTTCTCGCTGCTCTGCTTCTGATCCAGGTCCCTGATAATGCACCTGCAAAAGCAGAGGAAGATGGCCCAAGAACTTGGGGCTCTGATACCCATGTGGGAGACCCAGAAGCAGCTCCTGGCTTCAGCCTGGTCTAGACCCAGCCGATGTGGCCCTATGGCATATGAACCAGTGGACGGAAGACCTCTCTCTCTGAGTTCCAAATAAAAAATGAATCTCGAGAAAACAAAAAACTACACACAGAATGTTTACAAGAAATAAAGGATGTGTAACCACTTTTGATGACTGCGCAGACAATGTCAGCACATTAGCACCGAGGGGTCAAAAGGCAGCTGAGCTCGCTGCTTCCCGGCTCAGGCAGAATCCAGTTTCACCCTGTATAAAGCAGATGCCTGCCTGTCAGAGCTTAGAACACACACACGCAGGAGCCACGCATGCACAACGCTCAGCACACCTGGACACCCAGGAACACACGTGAACACAGGGCAGGCGCCATGCTGTGCTGTCACTTCTTCACCTCACTGCAGCACATGCGCACCTGGGTTCTGCCTGGAAACCGCCCCCCCCCCCCCCCCCATGCTCCTGACTGCTCAGGCCCAGGGCTGCCTCCTCCTGAGCTCTCCCGGGTGTGATCCGAGCCACCCTCCTGGCTGCCAGGTCCATACTGCCTATGTGCCACTGCTCTGTCCAGCCTTCCAGACCCAACTGCCCAGGGGGATGGGGGAGGGCTATCCAGCCCCGCTCTGTTGTCTCAGCAGTGAGGGACTTGTCCCCATGCCTGGAACAAACCCTGCCAGCAACCATCTCTGCTGCGACAGGCACGTGGCTGAGGCACCCACATCTGTGGCTCAGCCTCGTGCGCAGCCCAGCCACGGCACTCTCCCTCATGGCTGCCAGTAGCATGCAGCAGCACCCAGGGCGCAGAAGCCAAACCACCAAGTGTGAGCACACGGCTGTAGCTCAGTGCCCCACGGCCCACCAGTGGATGCCGCTGGCTGTTCCTCCACGAGGTGTGGTGGCCTCCCTGGGAGGATGCCGGCCAGCACACCTGGGGACGCAGCAGCTCCCAGGCCTGCACCCTGGGCCGAGGTGGCAGCTGTGCACCTGCAGTGCACCGGGCAGACCCTGCAGGGGCCTCTCCCACGGCTGCCTGTGTTTCCACGCTGCTGAGCCACCGTGAGGAACGGCGTGCCAAGAGCACGTGGACACTTACGTGTGCTTCCGATGCAGTTCCAGAATCTTGTCGAGGCAGCGGCCCTGGCTGGGCAGGTACTCGCTGGCCTTCAGGTGCTCTCGGGCCAGGGTTTCGTCGCAATCTCCAATCTCAGCTGTGGTGAGAGGACACGGTCAGCCATTCCAGTTCTTAACTGAAGTGAACCACAAGCATCTGCACATGCAAATGCATACATGAGAAGTAAAAAAATCCTAAATCTGTAGTAAAACAGTCCTAGAAACTTTTTTGTACTTCATTTTTCCAAGTATTTTATGCTGTTAAAGGCAAATGCAGCAGCCAAAGATGACTCCTTTGACTCTCAACGCCAGGACTCTGATGTGCAGCGCCAGACAGCTGACCGCTGAGCCCCAAGTTCAATGTGAGAATTCATTATTTCTCTGAATCATGACTTACACAAAAATTGTTCAAGATTGGCCGGCGCCGCGGCTCACTAGGCTAATCCTCCGCCTTGCGGCGCCGGCACACCGGGTTCTAGTCCCGGTCGGGGCGCCGGATTCTGTCCCGGTTGCCCCTCTTCCAGGCCAGCTCTCTGCTGTGGCCAGGGAGTGCAGTGGAGGATGGCCCAAGTGCTTGGGCCCTGCACCCCATGGGAGACCAGGAAAAGCACCTGGCTCCTGGCTCCTGCCATTGGATCAGCGCGGTGCGCCGGCCGCAGCGCTCCGGCCGCAGCGGCCATTGGAGGGTGAACCAACTGCAAAGGAAGACCTTTCTCTCTGTCTCTCTCTCTCACTGTCCACTCTGCCTGTCAAAAAAAAAAAAAAAAAAAAAAAAAAATTGTTCAAGATTATCCTAACCAGAGTAATGTATTTTCAATCATTTTTTCCTTCTAGACTTCTCAAATTTTTTTCTTTAAAAAAAATCTTTATTTTATTTGAAAGACAATTACAGAGAAGCAGAGCGAACCATCTGCTGGTTCACTCCCCAAACAGCTGCAATGCCCAGGTTGAGCCATGGCCAACGCCAGGAGCTCCAACCAGGTCTCCCATGTGGGAGGCAGAGGCCCAAGCACTTAGGCCTCCCTGGCAAACTAGCAGGGAGCCGAATCAGAAGTGGAGCACCAGGGACTCGAACCAGAGGTCATTTGGGATGCTGGTGTCACAGGTGGTGGCTGGTAACCCGTTGACTCCCAGAATTCTCCGATTTCTTGAGAAATCATGATTCTCTCTAATTTCAAGTTACAAGACAGCAGTGAAGCCCAGGAACCCTAAGCAATACACCTGTTACTTTTGTCTCACGCACAGTGCAGACACCTTCCCTGCTTGGAACCACTGCAGACGGGTGGCCCACAGGCCGCCCTGGCAGGGAGCGTGTCCACAGCACCGAGGACCTTCCTGCCACAGAGGGACTGTGCTGAGCAGGCCTGTCTGAGCGGCAGCTTCCAAAGTGAGACTGGGTCGGTCCCACTAAGCCACGCTGCACGACCGAGCCACCACTCCCAAGAAGGCACTGGCAAGGCCTGTGTCCACCTGAGACATCTTGGGCCAGAGGGAAAGAGACTGAAGACAAGCCCCGCCATGTGGGATGGTGAAGCTGCAAACTCTGCTGTCTGCTGAGGGCTGGGAACAGACCAAGGAAACCAGCAACGGCCGCACACTCACGGATCCCTCCTGTGCCGAGACTGCCTGCATGGCGCTCTCCTTGTCCAAGTTCTAGACATGAGATCTCCCTGGGAGCACCTGGCCCAGTCCAGTCCAGAAGCAACGTGCACGCCTCCCAGAGTATGCTGACGGCTGGCGGCTGTGCGAGGTCTGCCCCTCTCCCCTGGCCTCCACGAGCCCTCTCCTAGCTGTGCGTCCTCATGCACTTCTGAACCGCCTCCTGCTCCCCATAAGACACTGGGGAAACGCTTTCTATCTCCTAGTTAATGCTTACCAGCCAGGAGGGCTGTGACTGCCACTGAAGGAGGCCCCGTTCAGGCCAAGGTGGCACCCAGCTGCAGCTGTGCTGTGGGTACCGGCTCTCCCGGTGGAGACGACTGGCGGAGGAGCTCCATTTACACATGTACCCCTTCCCTGAGCAGGCACACCAACCACGTACACACACACTTTACACATGTACCCCTTCTCTGACCAAGCACGCCAACCACGTACACACACACTTCACACATGTACCCCTTCTCTGACCAAGCACGCCAACCACGTACACACACACTTTACACATGTACCCCTTCCCTGACCAAGCACACCAACCATGTACACACACACTTCACACATGTACCCCTTCTCTGACCAAGCACGCCAACCACGTACACACACACTTTACACATGTACCCCTTCCCTGACCAAGCACACCAACCATGTACACACACACTTCACACATGTACCCCTTCTCTGACCAAGCACACCAACCACGTACACACACACTTTACACATGTACCCCTTCCCTGACCAAGCACACCAACCACGTACACACACACTTTACACATGTACCCCTTCCCTGACCAAGCACACCAACCACGTACACACACACTTCACACATGTACCCCTTCCCTGACCAAGCACACCAACCATGTACACACACAGTTCACACATGTACCCCTTCCCTGAGCAGGCACACCAACCATGTACACACACACTTCACACATGTACCCCTTCCCTGACCAAGCACACCAACCACGTACACACACACTTTACACATGTACCCCTTCCCTGACCAAGCACACCAACCATGTACACACACACTTTACACATGTACCCCTTCCCTGACCAGGCACACCAACCACGTACACACACACTTTACACATGTACCCCTTCCCTGACCAGGCACACCAACCACGTACACACACACTTTACACATGTACCCCTTCCCTGAGCAGGCACACCAACCATGTACACACACACTTCACACATGTACCCCTTCCCTGACCAAGCACACCAACCACGTACACACACACTTTACACATGTACCCCTTCCCTGACCAAGCACACCAACCACGTACACACACACTTCACACATGTACCCCTTCCCTGACCAAGCACACCAACCATGTACACACACACTTTACACATGTACCCCTTCTCTGACCAAGCACACCAACCACGTACACACACACTTTACACATGTACCCCTTCCCTGAGCAGGCACACCAACCACGTACACACACACTTCACACATGTACCCCTTCCCTGACCAAGCACACCAACCATGTACACACACACTTTACACATGTACCCCTTCCCTGACCAAGCACACCAACCATGTACACACACACTTTACACATGTACCCCTTCCCTGACCAAGCACACCAACCACGTACACACACACTTTACACATGTACCCCTTCCCTGAGCAGGCACACCAACCACGTACACACACACTTTACACATGTACCCCTTCCCTGACCAAGCACACCAACCATGTACACACACACTTCACACATGTACCCCTTCCCTGACCAAGCACACCAACCATGTACACACACACTTTACACATGTACCCCTTCCCTGACCAAGCACACCAACCACGTACACACACACTTTACACATGTACCCCTTCCCTGACCAAGCACACCAACCATGTACACACACACTTCACACATGTACCCCTTCCCTGAGCAGGCACACCAACCACGTACGCACACACTTTACACATGTACCCCTTCCCTGAGCAGGCACACCAACCACGTACGCACACACTTCACACATGTACCCCTTCCCTGAGCAGGCACACCAACCACGTACGCACACACTTCACACATGTACCCCTTCCCTGAGCAGGCACACCAACCATGTACACACACTTTACACATGTACCCGTTCCCTGACCAAGCACACCAACCATGTACACACACTTTACACATGTACCCCTTCCCTGACCAAGCACACCAACCATGTACACACACTTTACACATGTACCCCTTCCCTGACCAAGCACACCAACCATGTACACACACACTTTACACATGTACCCCTTCCCTGAGCAGGCACACCAACCACGTACACACACACTTTACACATGTACCCGTTCCCTGAGCAGGCACACCAACCATGTACACACACTTTACACATGTACCCCTTCCCTGAGCAGGCACACCAACCACGTACACACACACTTTACACATGTACCCCTTCCCTGACCAAGCACACCAACCATGTACACACACTTTACACATGTACCCGTTCCCTGACCAAGCACACCAACCATGTACACACACACTTTACACATGTACCCCTTCCCTGAGCAGGCACACCAACCACGTACACACACTTTACACATGTACCCCTTCCCTGAGCAGGCACACCAACCATGTACACACACACTTCACACATGTACCACTTCCCTGAGCAGGCACACCAACCACGTACGCACACACTTTACACACACGCTCCTGGTCTCACCAGGCGCACCGACCGTGCACACGCATCAGTGGGCAACCCGAGCAGCCCCCTGGTGCTGGCGCAGGGGAGGAGGTACTAACACTGCAGAAGGTGGGATGTGAGGAGAGCTGCGGTGGTGTCGGCACAGACCAGACGCTCCTCCAGGAGGTCCCTCTTGAGCTGCAGGGCAAATAAGTACCTAGGAGGGGTCAGAACAAGCAAAGGTCAGCTCTGGAGGTTCTGCAGGTGTCTCTGCAGCCCAGCTAACGGTGGGCAAGTGCGAGGCCCTCAGGAAAGGGGCAGTCACAGAGGACCTTTTCCGCCAGTGGTCCCTCAGGTCAGGCGACCGAGTCAGCTCCTCAGAGCAGCCAGGAGAGGCTCGGGGCGAGCCATGCCAGGGAGCCCTGCAGTGCTGTGGGAGCCTGTTCTCTCCTGGGACTTGCTACACACAAAGCCACTCTCCATTTTGGATAAAACAACTTAAGATGTGGCTAGAATCTGAGAAACAGGCGCCTGGAGCACCCTGCTGAGTGTGCTCCGAGAACGAAGCTGACAATATTCATGTGTTCGCTGACTCTAACAAACGACCACTGAGCCTGCCGTGGCAGGGGCTGCTCCTGAGGCGGAAACACAACGGCCCTCAGCAGAACGGGCACTCACACAAGCTGTGAAAGTTCACTACATTCTCTTAGAACTGGAGACAGGCAAACCCTTCGACTCGGTGACGCCCCTTCTGTGAGCGTTTCCTGCTCCTGTGCAGCCTCTGCAGGACTGAGAGGGAGAAACTGGACGCAGCAGAGGTGCGCGCTGACAGGAGTGGTTCCAGCCGCACGTGCGGGCACGGGCATCCACAGCGCGCCGCCCAGTGGGGAACCGCCCAGACGCCGTGGGAGCGGACAGGGCCGGGAACGCTTCTTATTCTCCATAAAGAAACGCTTATCACAAACACGCAGTTTTTAAAAACTAAAAAAGGGACCCCTATGCATTAATGAGGGGGGGGGACAGAGAACCAAAACTGACCTCCTAGAGTTCATGCCAGAACTCAGACCCAGGACCCTGATGGAGCACTGTCTGCTACCCTCCAGCTGTAGGCCACAGACACACATCCCAGTAAACATCAGGAGCCGAGTAACTGCCACTCCCGAGACACCTCTGTGAGCTTTGGGGTCGGCTGGTCAGCCTGCAAGGACGGGGGGCTGAGCTGACGTGCTCCCGGCAGCTGGCAGTCCATGGCCTTGGAGAGGGGTGCTGGCGTGCTCACAGCATCTGTGAGCCCAGCTTCTGCCCCACTGTGCGCCACAGTCCCAAACTCACACCTGGCCTTGCCTTCTACCCTGCTTCTCTGTTCTTCATTATTTATAAACCTGATACACGCTCAAGGATTAAAAATGCAAGGGAAAAAAAACTTCACAATCGTGGCCTAGAAAAAACATCATTCCCTGTTGCTGCAAAGCCTGGCTCTACTACAAAGAGCATGAGATGGGCCGGCGGTGGAGCAGCAGGTTATGCCATAGTCTGCGGTGCTGGCATGCCATATGGGCGCCAGGTGGAGTCCTGGCTGCTCCACTTATGATCCAGCTCCCTGCTATGGCCTGGAAAAGCAGTGGAAGGTGGTCCAGGTGCTTGGGCCCCTGCACCCATGTGAGAGAGCTAGAAGAAACTCCTGGCTCCTGGCTTCGGCCTTGCCTAGCCCCGGCCATTGTGGCCATTTGGGGAATAAACCGGTGCATGGAAGATATCTTTAACTCTTTCAAATAAATAAAATATTTAAAAACAAAAATAAACAAAATAAAAAGCACAAGAGAAGCTTCCTGGCCTTTGCTGCTGGTGCTGGGGGACCTGGATGTGGGACGTTCCCAAGCACACATCTGTGCTCACGTAGAGAATGCTGGGTCAGCCCCTCCATTCACGAGAAGAGTGTGTACTTATCTGACAGACAGACTCAGACAGCAGGCGCTCCTGTCCACTACCTCACTCCTGGCAACGCCCACGAAGGCTGTGGCTGGCCAGGGCCACACCCAGGCACTCTGACGTGGGAGAGGTTTAACCGCCCCTTCCTTTCTTTCTCCTGTGGATTTCACCCTGACACAGCCATGGAGACTGGAAAGCAACCGCCGGCAGCACCGCCCACCCTCCACGGGCAGCAGCGCAGTCACGCAGAGTGCAGAGGCACCATCAGCACAGACACTGGACTTTAAAGAAGTGACCGTTTCCGGGCGGAGGTGGAGTGCTATGGACACCGTGATTGCACAGGGGCCTGCAGCCATTCTCCTGGCGGGGACACCAGGCTTGCCCGTCTTTGTGGGAGTCAGTCCAGGACTAGCCTTTACCTCGTGTACTCTTCTTGCAGCTGACCAGGGTCCGGTGGGAAAAACTTCACAGCCAGGCGAAGCACCGTGTTCTTTGGCCCTACAGGAAGAAAATTTCAGACTTCGTAAATCAGGGCCGTCTCTGATTCATTCTCTTTGCCCTGTGCTAGAGCAAATCTTCCCAGATGAGATGCTAAGGAAATGCCCAGGCTGTGGCCCTGAAGGTCGGCCATACACGGGCACACTCAGACAGACTTCAGATTTGCACAAAGCAGACAGTACTCAAGGAAACCTTAAAAACAAGTAGAAAATTGCACATTAAAATTTTAAAATATATTCCTGTTTACTTTTATTTTTTAAGGATTTAGTTATTTATTTGAAATGTAGAGTTTCAAGGTTGGGGGCAGAGGGAGAGAAGAGGAGGAGAGGGAGGGAGGGAGGGAAGGAGAGAAAGGGAGAAGGATAGGAGTAGGAGAGAGAAAAAGAAATTGTCCATCCGTTGGTTCACTCCCCAGATGTCTGCCACAGCCAGGACTGGGGCAGGTTGAATTCAGGAGCCTCTTCCAGTTCTCCCACATGGGTGCAGGGGCCTAGAGACTTGGGCCATCTTGCATTGCTTTCCCAGGCAATAGCAGGGAGCTGGATCGGGAGTGGAACAGCTAGGACAGGGACCAGCACCCTAGTGGGATGCCAGCAATGGAGGAGGCAGCTTAACCTGCTATACTACAACACCAGCCCCACTGTTTATATTTTAGGATTAGAAATGATCAGCAAAAAGTTAAGGAATTTGTGGTAGTAGTAATAGTAGTAGTAGTAAAAACATACTATTTTTGAAACCCTCATACACTTTAAAAAGCAAAATGCTATCCTTACTTACTATACTGACTGAAACAACTTCCACCACAAAGAAAATAGGAGCTCTCATGCCGTGGGCCAGGGCAGCCTAAACAGCCAGGGAATGTTAGTGCGTAACAGAGCAACCTCCAGCCTCTTCTCACCGTGTGGTGATTCAGACGAGTGGACTTTAGCCTGCAAAACTACTCCCAATAAGAACTAAAATACATTACCGTATGCTCTACTCCCCCAAATTTAATAAGGAAACTAACTTACTGGTGTTTTCATAATTACAGAACAGTACTATTAAAATGCTGCTTAAAAGAGGAATCTCATCATCAGGACTGAGCCTGCATACTTATTTTTGCATGTTGGTCAAAATTAAGAGGCCCTCCTACAGCGTATCCTGTTACTTCCAGGTCTGAGGCAAGTCACCTGGAACCATCTCAGGTAAACCTGTTGCTCGGGCCAGCGCTGTGGCATAGTGCCACGTGGGCACTGGTTCGAGTCCTGGCTGCTCCACTTCCAGCCCAGCTCCCTGCTAATGTGCCTGGGAAAGCAGTAGAAGATGGCCCAAGTGCGTAGGACTCTGTTCCAATGTGGGAGACCTGGAAGAAGCTCCTGGCTCCTGGCTTTATCTTGGCCCAGCTCTGGCTGTTGCGGCCATTTGGGGAGTGAACGAGCTGATCGAGATCTCTCTCTCTCTCTCTCTCTCTGTGCCCATGCCCCACACTGTATCTGCCGGAGGTGACGACTTCGCTGCTGTCCGCAGTGGTGGCAGTGAGCATGGGATATGCCTTGAACTCAGCCTCTCAGAACAAAGCTCCTGAGTGACCAGAGGCGGAAGGGTGAGCACGGACTTACTTCGCACTTGCCTGGCGAAGGGCTTCGTGGGCTCCAGCCAGATCTAAAGGGGGTGAACAGGAGAGATGAAGTCCGTTAAGCAGCGTCTCCAACAACAAGTGCAAAAATCACCCTCCTCTCCCACGAAAGTCTAATGCTGACACACCAACCACAGGAGAGGGCTTCTGCATAAAGGGGCCGCCCGTGTCTGTGGCAGACACCACTCGCCATGCCGGCACGGTGTCTGAACCAGCAGGCGGAAGCAGGGTTCTTTAAATCAGCTTCTTCGATAAATAAATTCAGTTTGCTCCAGGTCCACTTTCAGTGAGGACATGCAAGACGCACTCAAGGTTGTTTTTGCAACTCAGGAGGAAAGGGTGTGCTTGGTCACGTTCGAACCGACAGCAAGGTCTGGGCCGGGGGTGGAGGGCACGGTGACTCGGCCAGGGGTGGGGCAGCGTGGCGGTGGTGGTGAATCCAGGCGCAGCTCTGACGACAGAGGTGGTCTGGGCACACGAGCACCACAGTTCTCTCGACAGACGGACAGCCTGCTTCCAGAACCACCCAAGGCACATACCCAGCAGCACTGGACGCGCTGAAACTCTAACCCGAAGTAGTCGCTCTCTATCAGGTTCAAGCGCGTCCACACCTGGGTCAGCAAGGTCTGGCCGTCACACTTGGGCTGTAGGAGAGGACGAGAGAGGCACGGATTCACGAAAGCGGTGGCAGGGGCTGCTTCCCACCCACAAAGGCTTCACTCCGCCTTCCAGGGTGCAAGGATTCACAAATGGTCTCAAGGCAAGGAAATGAAACTGATACCAAAGGGCCAGCGCTACACAGTGCAACAGGTAAAGCTACCGCCTGCGACGCCAGCACCCCACATTGGCGCTGGTCAGTTCCCAGGGGTTCCACTTCCTCTCCAGATCCCTGCTAATGGTGTGGGAAAAGCAGCAATGCTAAGTATCTGGGCCCCTGCCACCCACATGGGAGACTGAGATGAAGCTCCTGGCTTCAGCCTGGCCCAGGCCTGGCTGCTGCAGACATCTGGGGAGTGAACCAGTGGATGGAAGACCTCTCTGTCTCTCCATCTAACTGACTTTTAAACAAATACACCTTTAAAAAAGACTCATACCAAAACAATGCTCAGTTTTATATTTTCACTCATATTTCTTTGTACTTTTAGACTACAGAAACTGCATTTAGTTTCAGTAAACATTTTATCAAATAATTCGAACATTTACTGAAAGGCCTGGTCTCTCAGCCACTGGTTTCATGACAGCTCAGTGAACCGTTATTTACAAACGTCTCCCAAGATCTCCCTACTGCCAGGGAGGAATACACGTATGTAATACATGATGTATGTATGTATACCACCATCTTTCCCACGATGCCGTTTAAAGATACCTGATTTTCAGTGTTTTTGACCTTACTCACCAAAACCATTTCCCACAGGCTCACTCTTAGAAGTGTGTATCAGTGCCCGTGACCCAGACCACTGCTCGTGAAGTCACCACAGCCCGTGACCCGGGCCACTGCTCACGATGTCACCACTGCCCGTGACCCGGGCCACTGCTCACGATGTCACCACTGTCCGTGACCCGGGCCACTGCTCACGATGTCACCACAGCCCGTGACCCGGGCCACTGCTCGTGAAGTCACCACTGCCCGTGACCCGGGCCACTGCTCACGATGTCACCACTGCCTGTGACCCGGGCCACTGCTCACGATGTCACCACAGCCCGTGACCCGGGCCACTGCTCACGATGTCACCACAGCCCGTGACCCGGGCCACTGCTCACGATGTCACCACAGCCCGTGACCCGGGCCACTGCTCACGATGTCACCACAGCCCGTGACCCGGGCCACTGCTCACGATGTCACCACAGCCCGTGACCCGGGCCACTGCTCACGATGTCACCACAGCCCGTGACCCGGGCCACTGCTCACGATGTCACCACAGCCCGTGACCCGGGCCACTGCTCACGATGTCACCACAGCCCGTGACCCGGGCCACTGCTCACGATGTCACCACAGCCCGTGACCCGGGCCACTGCTCATGATGTCACCACCAGCTTTGTTTTCGGGTCACTTATGCCTTTCACATGCCCTTTCTGCCCTCCCACATCTCCCGTTCTTAAAATTCCCTTTCTGCTGGAAAGCACAGGAATCCTGCACTGGCTCTCTCACTGGTGCTCAACAAGTGCACTGGATGCGCCCCGGACTTGGAAGGCCCAGAGCGCTGAAGCCACGGCTGCCGCCAGGACGTGAGGCCTTGTGCTCGGCAGCAGCTCCTGGGCGGTGCTTCCCGCACAGGCTGGGGGAGCAGCAGCAAGAACGCAACAAACGAAACAGCCCGCAGCTCCCAGCGCACGTCCTCCCCGAGCTCAGACACAAAGCACATTGTTGGAAACCCACAGCGATGAAGGCACACGAGACTCTGTCTGGATGGCATTGGGGCGGAAGTGAGGCCCACAAAGGCCTCCTTTATTCTCTGTCTGCAGGCTGTGGGCAGCTCCTTCACGGCTCTGTCCCTCCTGGGCCCACTTGCAGCTCCTCGCCCAGGCACAGCTGCTCCACGCCTTCCCTGGAACAAGCTGAGCCCAGCTTTCCTTTTAGAACAGCGCACTTGACGCCCAAAGCCACCGAGAAAACTCACAGGCCACAGAAGCGCAGGAAGTCACCTGGGCGTGGCAGGGCCTCCCCTCAGCCCCCCGGACTCCGGATGTCCTGCGCCGAGGCTGCGGTTCCACACTCGGAGCTCCTGCCCCACACAGGAGAAGGTGTGGCTGCATGCCTGTTCTCAGGCAAGAGAGCCACGGGGAGCTCCGCAGGCACCACGGTCATTTCCACCGCAAGACCCGGGCAACCCAGAGCTCACGGGTCTGTGTCCGTGTTCATTCTACAGCAGCTTCTCTTCCAGCTGCTCCAGGCAACTCAAGACCCCTGCGCTGGAGCCTGCTGGCAGGGCTGGCAGACAGCTCTTCGCCCAGAGGCTGCTCGCCCTGGCCAAGGGCTTTCCGTCGTCTTGCTGCCATGTGTGGGAGCAGCCCCGTACCAGCAACACCGTAGAGACTGCCTCCCTCATCACCCAGAGTCTGTGGCTTCTCGGGGTATGGTCTCTCTCTGACAATGTGCCTGGGAAGGCAGCAGTGACAGTCCAAGTACTTGGGACCCTGGCAGCTTCAGGCCATGGCTACCTAAAACCCCCCTTTTTTTTTTTTTTTTTTTGACAGGCAGAGTGGACAGTGAGAGAGAGAGAGAGAGAGAGAAAGGTCTTCCTTTGCCGTTGGTTCACCCTCCAATGGCCGCCGCAGCCGGCGCACTGCGCTGATCTGTCAGGAGCCAGGTGCTTCTCCTGGTCTCCCATGGGGTGGAGGGCCCAAGCACCTGGGCCATCCTCCACTGCACTCCCTGGCCACAGCAGAGAGCTGGCCTGGAAGAGGGGCAACCGGGACAGAATCCGGCGCCCCAACTGGGACTAGAACCCGGTGTGCCGGCGCCGCTAGGCGGAGGATTAGCCTAGTGACCCGTGGCGCCGGCCTAAAAAACCCTTTGTCTCTGGCCTCACTGCTACCTACTGTTTCTGTCTTTAAGTCCCCAGTGAATGCTCTGGGGACTGGCACTGGTGTAGCAGTTAAGCCACCGCCTGGGATGCCAGCATCCCCATGGGAGCGTCTGGGTTCAAGGCCCAGCTCTGCTCTTCACTCCGGCTTCTTCCTAAAGCACACTCTGTGAGGCAGCAGGTGGCCCAAGTACTTGGGTCCCTGTCACCCTTCTAGGAGATCCGGATTGAGTGCCCGGCTCTTGGTTTTGCCCTGGCCCAGCTCCAGCTGTTGTGGGAATTTGGGGAGTGAACCAGCAGATAGAAGCTCTGTACCTTTCAAATAATTAAATAAAAATTGTGACAGTTACACTCAGCAGTCCTGGGTTTGTTCCGTCATCCTCCGTGGATTCCTGTGCTTGGGCTGCTCCAGGGTGGTCTCTCTGAGGCCGGCAGTGCGTGGTACACACCCACCTGTTTCAGCAGTTTTCCCACTGAACCGGCTTTAGAAAAAGCAATTGGCCTGGAAGTGCAAGGGCCTACTTGGAGCCTCTCCAGTGTGTTCTGCTGATCTGCACACACGTGCATCTCCCCAGCACGGCCACACTGTGGCCATCTGTGCAGCTTGAAGGTCTGGTAAGGGACAGTGTCAAGCTCCCAACATGCTTCTCTTCCTGAGACTGTTCTTGGCTATCCTTTGCATTTCCACATAATCTGATCAGCTTATCAATTCATGCAAAACAGCCAGCCAAGATTCTGATGGGCGGCCGCATGTCAAGTCTAGCGGGCGAGGCGTGTTGCCACCTTAGCCTGTAGAGGGCGAGGCGTGTTGCCACCTTAGCCTGTAGAGGGCGTGGAGTGTTGCCACCTTAGCCTGTAGAGGGCGTGGAGTGTTGCCACCTTAACCTGGAGAGTTTGTGGAGTGTTGCCACCTTAACCTGTAGAAGGTGTGGCGTCTTGCCACCTTAACCTGTAGAGGGTGTGGTGTATTGCCACCTTAACATGTAGAGGAAGCTGGCGCCGTGGCTCACTAGGCTAATCCTCTACCTTGCGGCGCCGGCACACGGGGTTCTAGTCCCAGTTGGGGCACCAGATTCTGTCCCGGTTGCCCCTCTTCCAGGCCAGCTCTCTGCTGTGGCCCGGGAGTGCAGTGGAGGATGGCCCAAGTGCTTGGGCCCTCCACCCCATGGGAGACCAGGAGAAGCACCTGGCTCCTGCCATCGGATCAGCGCAGTGCGCCGGCCGCAGTGCGCCGGCTGCGGCGGCCATTGGAGGGTGAACCAACAGCAAAGGAAGACCTTTCTCTCTCTCTCTCACTGTCCACTCTGCCTGTCAAAAACAAACAAACAAAAACATGTAGAAGGCATGGTGTGTTGCCACCTTAACCTGTAGAGGGTGTGGCGTGTTGCCACCTTAACCTGTAGAGGGTGTGGAGTGTTGCCACCTTAACCTGTAGAAGGTGTGGCGTGTTGCCACCTTAGCCTGTAGAGGGTGTGGCGTGTTGCCACCTTAACCTGTAGAGGGTGTGGCGTGTTGCCACCTTAGCCTGTAGAGGGTGTGGCGTGTTGCCACCTTAATGCATTAGTTTCTGATCCATGAGCACTGCCTGTCGTTCCATTTATTTAATCGTTTCTGGTTTCTTTCTTTTTCTACCTTTTATTTAATGAATACAAATTTCATGCATTTCTTAAGTACAATTTTAGGAATATAGTGATTCTTCCCACAATGCCTGCCCTCCCACCCCCATTCCCATCCCTCTTCTTCCTCCATTTCCAGTCTTATTTCATAGTAAGATCTATTTTCAGTTAACTTTATGCACAGAAGATTATGTCTATAGTAAGTAAAGAGTTCATTAATTTGTAAGATAAAAGAAAGAAAAAAGCAAAAGAAAAATTCAAAAAGGAGGAGGATGAAACTGTTTCTCAACGGTCAAGACAAGGACTGTTCAAAGTCATTGCATCTTGAAGTTAATTTCACTTTTTTTTTTTTTTTTAGGAAATAATTAACTTTAAATAAGCACCCAAGAGTGATTCATCTCTTGGGAGCACTTAGACGTAACCGTAGCTTATTAGACATAAGCATATCCCTCACTTACTACATTAGGAGAAAGCAAGTCTTTGGGAACAAGTTTCATCATTAAT